ATGTGGAGTCACTGTTAAAAATAGGCGGAAGCACATAAGCAAGCCATAATTGTTTATCAGTGTAATAAAGTTCTTTCATATCAAACTGATGCTGTAAAAGTAAAAATAAGAACATTCCTTTAGTCTTATAGCTTAATGTGCTCAGATGTGAATTATAAATTTACTGGCACGAGTTAGGCTTCTCTTCTCCACATCTACAAATCATGGTGACTGGGCTAGGGGAGTCTTCCAAAATTACCAATAAGTCTTTCTGAAGTTAAAATTCCACATTTGGTAATCTGTATTTTCTTTTATTCATCATTTTATTGGGAGCTCTTACAGATGTCATAACATTCTGTAATTCAAATAGAGCAAGCATAATTGTACAATTCTTACTACATTCAGTTTCAAAACTTTTTTTTCCTTCTTGAACTCTTTGATATGGCTCCCTTTTATCCCCTCGCTCCCCATCCTTCCCTCAAGGAACCCTTGTTTTTATTGTTATATATTATTATTATTCTAGACGTATTTATGTATACATTTATATCCTTATGTGACCCCATCCAATATATCCATTCATCTACAATTCTGTTATTCGCTCCCCTCAAGTGAGGTTATACAATCATTTTTGCTATCAGTTCCCCCTTCATCCCAATTCTTCCCCCTAGGGAATCATTACTCTCATTGCTGTTTCTGAAGGGTCATCCATCCTTGTATGCCAGCATCAAATGATCTTAATAATACACATGAACATACACAGGAGTAACAGTATTAATAAAGTCAAACATAAGCCTTAATAGTAAGGGGAGGAAATATTAAAGAACCAGAGGATAATTATGTGTTTTATCATAGCTATACCACACCCTACTGCTGTGCCCCCTCTGTGGGGGCCTGTTCAATTGTCTCACAGGTGGGTTTTTGGGGTCTCCACTTTGTCCATGCTCCTTCGTATCAATTTGATTGCTTGTTTTTGAATTTCTGATACCTATTCCTGTCGACAACTCATGATCATACAGGATTGGTGTGCTTCTTCCATATGGGCTTTGTTGCTTCTCTGCTCGATGGATGCTTGTTTGACTACAAGCCTTTAAGACTCCAGATGCTATATATATTTTATTTTTTATTTGTTTCCCCTGGTATCAGCTCCTCATTTAAAAATTTTTTATTATTTTTAAAAAAATTTTATCATTTTATTGGGGGCTTGTACAATTCTTACCACAATCCATACATACATCGATTGTGTCAAGCACATATGTACATTTGTTGCCATCATGTATTAGTCTAGGTACTTTGGAGAAACAAATCCATAGCAACTCACGTATAAGAGAGAGTTTTATGTAAAGAAAGTGTGCATCACGAAAACATCCCAACCCAATGCTGCCCAAGCCCACAAGTCCAACATTAACCCA